ATATGAGATAATTTAGTTTAAATATCAACCGAAAGTGAAAGTCTAATCCTCTTCATAATTCATATAAATATTCCAAATAAGATGGCATAGAACCAAAAGTCTAATTTTTAGATCAAAATTGTCCTATTTTTACCATAAATTAATTTCACAATTAGTATTGTTCTTGATTCATGCTTTCAACTTGGTGAACTTGTGAATGAGAGGATATGCAAACCCGATATCGATATGCTTACTTCAGTAAACATAGTAATTAACCATTTATCAAATATCTTTCGACCGCATCTCGCTTCATAGCTCTTTCAACAGTCTTCTCAACGAAATAAATGGCATGCACCAGATGTATTAACATTATGATTCACAAATAGACAATATAACAATTAGTTGCTTCTTTAAATAATAAAGTTGTATCACTCTTAAACATAACAACAAGTGTTTTATATTACCAAGATTTTCAATAACTTGAATATAAAGCTAGTGGTTTAGTTACGAAATTTATAAGATATTAGAATAAGTTTGAGCTTGATTTTATCAAATTGAGACATATTTAAAATTTATAACTGTGATATGTAGATTTAATAATAGTATTATGCATTTGAATCGTAAAAACTATAATATTTCAATCTCGTATAAAAGAAAATATAATTATTGAGCTATATATAAAGATTCAAATAACTTACTACAATTTTTGACTTGACTCTCTATTCCTCACAATTTGTGTTTGAAAACTATTGAACTAGTAATTCTTGTATTTAAGTTATAAACTCTATGTAGTAAACCATTAACTCAAGTTCAAATGAAGACACTCTATAATTAATATTACCGTTAACATATCAAAGTATTAGGTCTTGTGTAAGTCAACTACCTCAAACTTCCCATAAAACTCTTGAGCCAAGTTACATCAAGCTTTACCTAAACCTTTTTCCATATATTCTTGCTATAATGATGTCATTCATGTAGATATAATAAAAATAACGAATTATCATTCTCTTTTACCTAAAAAGAATGCCCATGTATACATCATAAGAACCCATTTTCTAGGAAATGCTTGTCAATCAAACTATTTCAAGCTCTTGGTGCTTGCTTCAGTGTATATAATAGTTTTTTTAGTCTAAACACTTTATTCTCAGGACCTTCAATAGCATGCCCCATAGATTGCTCAAGATATGCTCAACTTCTATGTAGCAAAGGGAAAAATCATACTTGATTTTGAATTGCCTAATTTTTTACTAGATTTAAGCAGTAAAAAATTCAACAAGTGAATAGTATCCAATACTCTTATATGAAAAAGTTTATGAGGAAGATGAGTTGTTGCTACTAAAAGGATTAGATATTGTTGAACTTAAAAGGATTATGCTAGATAGACTTGGGGAAATTAGTATCACTTTGCTAGCTAGAGAAGCTTCATTTGTTCACACTTTAATGTAAATAACTTTATAATCAACAACATCATCGTTTTCAAGTCAATTTTAGTTTGTTTCTTCGTCAAATATAACATCTTTGTTGATAATTATTTTACCACTAATAGGGTTGTATAACTTATATTTTTTAAATTTAGTACAATAACTCAGGTCTATTATGAGTATGTAAATCCATCAAAGCATGGATAATAGAACATAAAATTTTTAAATGATTCACTAGAGCCTTGTACTATATCAGACTTCATATAGAGTTTGGTTCATAATACTCCTTAATGAAGATAAACCCAACACTACAATTGAAATAACTTCTGCTTAAAATTTGTTTGGAAGTCCTTTAGCATTTAACAAGCTTCTTGCCATCTTTACAATTTTTCAAATTTTTTGTTCAACCATTCTGTTTTGTTGTTGAGTATACAATGTAGTAATTCCTTGCATAAGCCTTGTTACTCACAAAATTGATTAAATTCATTGGAAATAAACCCACTATCTATATCCGTATGAGGTACTTTTATGTTTCTTTCATTTATTTTTTCTATAAATTCTTAAAATTGTCTGAAAGTTTTGAAGACTTCTAATTTATCTTGCAAGAAGTAGATTGAACTCATTCAAGCTACAATCATCTATCAATAATAAACAATATCTATTCCTATCAAAAGATTTTGTTTTTATGGGTTCACACAACTCAGCATGTATGATATTAAAACGTTCAAATGCTCTTTTAGATCTTCAATTAGAGATGACCTTTTGCACTGTTTTCCATATACATATCCTTTGCAGAAATCTAAATTTTTAATTTTAAGTAGCTTAAAGATCGTTTCTTTTTTATTCAACAATTTCAAGTTCTTAACATTTAAATGTCTATATCGTACATGTCATAGTTTAGACTCACTATTTTCTTTTACGACAATAGTATAATTTTTTACAGTAAATATTTCAAATGAAAATAACTTATTCTTTATTATTTGTACCTCAATAATAACTTGATCTAATTTTTTTAATCTCTAATCACACGTGAAGCATCATAAAAAGAACATATTATTCACTAGCTATGATTTGCCTAAACACTTGGCAAATTTTGTGACATACTAAGAATGAAATAGACATTATAAAAAAGCTTTGCTTTACCATGATTATTTTTGATTGCCACGGTGCTTTTTTCCTTTACTTGCATCTGTTTGTTATCTCGAAGTGTCACTTAATTTGAATGTCTCATCAAACTGTTTGAATAGTAATTTTAGACCAATTTTGTGATTAGAGTATCTATTGTTTAAAAACTAGATGCCACTGCATGTGGTTGCATCTTCTTGATAAGCCATGAATAACTTGACTTCCTTTTTTTTTTTCATTAATATCATTCGATTGCTTGCCCCTTCCCAATATTTTATCTTTACATGCCCAAGTAGCTTGTAAATTAACTGTCTTCCTTTGATTGATTAGTCAATTATTATCTTTCATCTTTTCAAGTTTTATTTTTAAAACATTGTCAAGGTTCTCTTGAACAAACAAGTCATCATACATTGTTACATAGTGAAATCAATCTCCATACTAAAGCTCAAAACTCCTGAGTATGTCTTATTTTACATCATAATAGGGAGGCAGATGTATAGTTTATGGTGCGGGCAACAATGTATTGGGTTTTAGTTTTCTAGACTTAACTTTTGAAATTCTCTTTTTTTGTGCATTCTTCTCTTGAATAGATATAACAATAAAGCTTAACTCATACAACTTATCAAGAAAAGTTCCACAAGCAATAAAATTAGAAAGATGAGAGCATGCACAATTTTTAACATAAATAATTCAATCAATCTAACATGCATAAAGTATGTATCACTTTAAATCAAATCACCAACTAGGTTGAGAAAATATTGTATAAGTATCTCATAAATCTTTAATAACCCACTTAGACCTGATATTCTCGTCTGTTATGGAGGATAGATATTACTAACAAAGATATACAGAAACCAATTATTTAATAGTTGAAAGCCTATAGATTAGTCTAAAGGTTTGGAATGCTAAATTAAAGATAAACCAAATGAAGCCTAGATAAGTAGCATGTTCTCACCTGTTAGGGACTAGGTGGGACTTTGTCATACAGGAATTATGGATGGCATTCCTAGATAATATGTTTTGGATGTAGCTCGACATTTAGACGCCAAACAAGCTCAAGATTACAAAAGGATAATAAGCCCCAATCTTGTTCGTCTCTGGATGTACTACATATGAATTAGACTCTTCAACCTCCCTTCTCTTATTCTTTTCCATACACCATTTTGCTGGACAACACATGTGCATTTGCCTTCTATAGACAAAGAATATATGGAAAGGTTGGTAGGATTTGTGTGGCCAAGTGAAGCCACATAAGAAACAAAATCTTTGTGGTTTTTCATAAACCAGACGTTGTTGATACACAACACACATACATAGAGAAGAGGATGAATATTATACAGATTCATATAGAGATTTTACACTTGACATATTACAGATTAAGACTCTTGTTCTTGCATACGTGGATATAGTAAGAAAATAATATCTCTATTTGGTATTAGAAGTAGTAAGTATTTGAACATTTAAACACGGTTGCAATTCTTGATTTGAGGGTTTAGGTCATTTTTGGACATACATATGCGCTCTCACACACAATAAACATACATATGTATATCTATATATTTAGTTTTGATTAAGGAAATTTAACTAAGGAGCTCTGCAGTTTAATCACTTACCTTAGAGATTGCTTCAGAGGGATCTGGAATACATATATAATGCTTGATGAGTGTTTGGTAGATCAGCACATAATGAGCAATAGATTCGTGTTTTGATTTCCTGTTCAGTAAAAATAAATTACTGAAAAAACTTTTGGTGAATGCAAGCCCCAAGAAAAGTTTGAGACAGAAGCTTCTTCATACATAGTTCTTTCCTCTCTTGAAAACCAGACAGTATATCAGCTAAATATATCACAGTGCCTTCTCACAATTGACTTTATATGTAAAGTAGATAACAGATATATAAACTGCTTCAGTGTAGATACTACATTACTTCCATATACAGTCTTCTAAATTATCGAATCATTTTGTATGAATTAAAATGACTTCAAGTCTGTTATAATAACGTTTGATATGTTCAGTTTGGATTTGTATTAATTTAATAATCAGCTGTCGTAGTGAAAGTAAAAAGTCCATCGAGAACAGTAAGATATAATTAGAAAGGAGCTGTACTAAAAAGATTTGCAGCTGTTCTCCAGAAAGGACATGAATGATTTATATGGTGAAACTCACAGTGATCTTAACATGTTTTTTCATATATCAACTATTTTAAGATTTAGACAGTTTGCGTATTCAAATTAGAGATTTTATATTAATTGCTTAAACAACAAATACTAAAATTATTAAAAATAATCTAAAAGCATTGAATATTAAAACAAAAAACCTCTAAATTATATCGTATCAGCCTATATACTGTAGTCTAAATAAAATCCGTAAGAGTAACGTACCTTGCCATACTTAATTTTGAACTACAAGGTGAACCACTGTGCATCGGTGCCTGTGATTTGAGTCCATCTCTCTTACGCTCTTCTCCACCATGATGTCAATTCTGTGCCAACACCATACTCCTCGTATCACTCCTCAACCTCAACAACTACTCTGTAACAATGGAGATATATATATATATTCTTTTAACTCGGCTGAAACCTGAGTCTACGTAGCTCCGTCAGCGTTAATGAACCTGATCAGGACATCAACAGAGCAAAATGAAGACGTATAATCATAACTATAGATACGCGTGTGTATATGTATGTATCTGTGAGTGGATCGAGCTCTTTAATATGTACCCATTGATAAAACAAGATAATATTTACTGAAAACTTTCAGCAATTATAGTACATGGAAATATAATTAACCAAAAACACAGAGCGGAATTAAACGGCGTGGTTTTGTTATTTGTTTTTTTTTCTTTTTTTTCCCCTTTGGGTCAGACATGCTGTCGAACAAGTAGTACCTGAGCTGTTCTTTTCTTGCTCAACTCTGCAATACCAGGTCTCCATCCACAGCGTCCAACAGTTGCGGAAACCAACCAAATATCAAACAAAAGAAGATATAGAATACTCATGACCAACTTTATAATACACGAAGAAGAAGAAGAAGAAGAAGAAGAAGAATGATCTGAGAAGCTCAGGGTTTGACAGTAATGGACATGGAGATGAGAAATTCTACAAGTTGGGTTTTGTTTACTGTGTTAGAATCTGTCATGAAGTAGACTATGAGTTGTGTTTGTCAGGGAAGGCGTAAGGTGGCAGTGGCTCGTGGACGGGGGTACGGTAAGTTTCAAAAATGATAATAATTAAACATCAAACACTAATAATAATATAAAAAACTGGCTTCAAATCTACTTAGAAAACAGATGACTGAGGAGGAATTAGGTGGGACGTAGACGGTGAATCTAATATTATATTCCATTTAAATCTTTTTCTTCTGGGTCACTCCAATCTTGAGTTGACCAGGTTGAAGATCATGTAAAAAGTATCGAATCCAAAATCTTTTCTCTTCTTGTATGTAATTTCCCATTGCTGCTATCCAGAACCTAGTGAACACAGATCTTAGGTTTAGTTAGATAAATTAACCACACTGTAATTTTATTTCTAAGATTGTAATTATAATATTTTGTTGAAGATACACAAGAATTATATTACATCAAAAAAGTGAATTTATAAAATGAAGTTTTATAATTAAAAAAAAAAAAACAAGCTGAGAGAAAATTGGGCCGGCGTGGTCTGTGAAATTGGGCTTTTTATATTTTTAAAGCCCAAGAAACCAAATTGACTGTAAGTATTTCTTTTTTTAAAAGAAAAAAATGGAGAAGAAGAACGCCCTCTTCTGTTTATTTATTCAAGACGTCGCTACGTTATTGCTTGCTCAGAAAGTCTCACTGCATAGAAAATCTGGGTAACGAAAGAAAGGGAAGAAAACAAGATGGAAGCACCGAAGACCATAGCACACGAAATCGGAGGTATCCAAAACGATGCTCTTCGTTTCGGTCTCCATGGAGTTAAAAGCGACATTGTTGGATCTCACCCTCTCGAATCTGCTTACCAAACTGTATTCTCTCTCTCTCTCTCTCTATATATATATATATATACATGTGTATCTACAGCGGCACCGTTCGTTCTGTTTGGTTATTGGAGAAGTGCGAGGAGATGAGGCAGAAAATAACTTTAGGATTTTTGTTACTGTTTTAGTTGAATCCTCGCCATTTCTCCTTCCTTTTGGATAATTAGAGGCCATAAACGCAAAAATCCAGGGTTTAGTCGGATATTGTCTTTGGTTTCTTCTTGTATTGCTGGGAATTTTTCGTACGACCTTAGCCTATTATTTTTCTTTTTGCTTTAAGCTTTCAGCTTTCTTGGCAATTAAACTTAGGGTTTCTGTTTTTTTTCCCATATGTTAATATGTGCACATATATGTATGAATACTATTTTTCAATTCTTTTCTGGGGTTTTTAGGCAAGAGCAACACAAGAAGAGATGAAAAGGAAACTTCTTGCAAATACCTATGGAACGGCTTTTCCCCTGAAGATGGATCTGGATAGACAAATTCTTTCCCGGTATGAGTTACTAGCTCTTCAAATTTTTATCGAGTCATTTGTGTAAACTCTTGTGCTTTTGGTTTTTCTCTCCTACAACTTACTAAATAATTTTCCTTCTAAAGGCTTCAAATAGGAAAATAAGTGTGATCAGCTAGATATAAGGAGTTTGGAGAAATTGTCCAATCAGGGTTGGGAACGGGGGTAGTAATGTGCAAATGGAAGAAAATCAATCTTAAAAGGGAAGATATTAAGCCAAATTCTTGCAGAGAAGTACTAAGTTGGTTGGAAGATTAGGAATTAGCAGAGCAAATATTGGTTTATTTGTGTGTGTTTCATAATGACTGGTTACCTTGACAAGAAGTTCAAATATTTTACATGAACTTGATCTGAACTCTACGTGGTATAACACCCCCCACCTACACAAAGTGGGGAAAGAGAAAAGTGGAGTTGGTAATGATTTGAAATCCCCTTGAGGTTCTTATAAGAGAAAATTTTTTGTAAGTTAGCTCTTGGACCAACATGTAATTTTACATATGCACCAGTGGAAAGAAGGGCCAATTAAACCATGAATAAAACTATCCCAAGTGACGAAATGGAGAGGTAACTACTTGAGTGCTTGATCTAAAGCAGATTATCAGTCATTTAGAGATGGTCTTGTATTTTCAAAATTTTGTTAGTCTGTTGATGAGTTAATCCATGTATCCATGGATAGAGGGTGATATACCATGTTCTCGTCTAGACCCCATGGAAGGGGCTAGGGAAGAAAATATGCATGTGCAGGAACAAATTTCAGGATTATATCAGCTGGAAAGTTGGCACTGGGAACAGGATTAGCTTTTGGCATAATGCTTGATTGAATGGGGGGTCACTCAGTGGACAACTTCCCCAGATTTAAGCCATTCTGTGTCAGAAGAATATCTCGATTCATGAGTCTTATGGTGGCATTTGGAGGGAAGGGAGTGGAATGTGGAGGTAATGAGAAATCTCAATGATTGAGAAGTTAGGGATTTTGAGATCCTCCTCCAAACCCATACTACAGTTAGACTCAACAGGAGTAATAGATCAAATGATTTGGAGACTTAATGATAGAAGATCCCTCTCGATTTGGTCATTTTACAGCCATTTGATTAAAAGAGATGCCATGGATATCAGCTTCCCCTGTTGGCAAATTTGGAAGATTAATACCCCATCTAGAGCTGTTTTCTTTGCTTGGAGGCTGGTCAGAGGTGTATTATTACTCTTAACAAGTTGATCAGGAGGGTGAGAATATTGGATTGGTGCTTTTATGCAAAAGAGAGGTGAAGTTGTATACTTATATCTTTCTGTAGTGTACGTTTGTGTATAAATTGTGGACTCTTGCTTATGGACTTATGGGCATCAATTGGGTGATGGCTGGTTCAGTAAGAGATGAAATCCAGATGTGGAAGGATATTAGTAGAGGAAAGGAACACATTAGCCTAATTCCCCTTGCTATATTTTAGCTGGTGTGGAAAGAGAGAAACATGAGAGCTTCTAAAGGGGTGGAAGATGACTTCAGTAGGCTTAAAGATAGATGGTTCCAGATCCTTGGTTTTTTTATTATGGATCATCCTTTTCATTTATTGGAGAAATTGGGGGACATTATTGACATATTGATCCATTTGTAAATATTTTTGTACACGGTTTTGCTTCTCCTTGGTGCTTGCGTATGAATCATACCTTACTATTTTTATTTTTTTTAAAAATTCTTGTTGCTTTAGGTGTGAACTTGTTGACTGCATTCAGCACATGGAATTACCGTTCATCAACCATCCTACTGTAGCTATTCTTTTATTGAAATGGAAAATATTTCCTGAAATAATATGTCGTGTTAATGAATCATCCACTAGCACTAGGTCTTCATCAAAGCAAAAGATTGGATATCCTTTCTCGAAAGATCCCTTCTGATTATGTTATTGAATTTTTGTATTTTTATATGAAACGAGTATGCTTATCCAATATCTTAGGCATGTCCTGAAGGCTGAAGCTAAGTTAGCTTGTGGTGTTGAGAATGCAGGATACGATCACTTGTGGGAAGAGTTTATTGCCAGAGAATATAAAAGCTAAAAGTTTGACTAAAGACGCAAGGGTATTTTGAATGTTTCTGCTGATGTTCGCATATGAAGCTTCTTAAATAGTCAATTAAGAAGTATTTGGCATGTGCAACTTAACAATATTTTGGTCCTTTGAGAAGTGGAGAGCAAAGAAATCAGTAGGTTTATTTTGTAATCCAATTGATTAGGAAAAACAAAAAAAAAAAAAAAAAGAAACTACTGCTTGAGTTTGTCTCGAGCTTGGGAGGAAGTAGGAAATTGCTAGAAGATGAGGCATCTAAAAAGATTAAATTTTGTCTTCTGTTGCAGACTAGATTTTTACTATTAGTCTTATATTTCCTATTTACATTAGTTATTATTGTTGTTAAATTGTTTCCCAAATCAATGATGGGTTCTATATCTGGCTGTACCTAAAAAAATTTGGCAGAGCCCTTCCATTAGACATTGATTTCTCAGTAAGATCCATCAATTGATTTGAGTGCATGATTTTTATTGTTATTATCTAATATCACTGAGCATTTATTTTTCCTTGTTTTGATATTGATAAGAATTAAAAACACACTTCAATAATTGCTTTTATATGTCGTGGGAAATTTTGCAGTTTTCAGAGGCCTCCAGGAGCAATTCCCTCATCAATGGTTGGCTTGGAGGCTCTGACCGGGAGCTTGGATAACTTTGGTTTTGAGGATTACCTAAATGGTAATAATATTCCAGTGTTGAGTACATGTTATTTAGCAGATATTAACTGTAAAATGGCAACATTAGTAATGATTACCAACTGTAAAATGAATTAAGAGGAGTACTACTCTAGCAATGCAGCATATCTGCATCAGGACTATCACTTGTATTCTTGTGCTGTATAGGATGCAGGGGTTTTTGTGTAGATCTACGGAGTAAAAATAACTAAAGCTTTTAAATCATAGACTTGAGAATCTCTAGCATTAGTTTTATAAACCATGGAATCTGGAGCAATCGTCCTTCTAGCCATATTGAAAGTCTTGAATTCTTGTTTTTAATGTTGTTGTAATCTGTCCATATAGTCTGTAGGTGGTTATTCCCTGTTAGTGAAGTGCAGGGAAAAGTGTTTGTTTCTGGTGTTTTCTTGCTTGTTCTTGATTCAACTTGTTTACTTTATTGCTTGTGGTTACAGACCCTCATGAATCTGAGACTTTCCGGCCACTTGACATGCATCATGGGATGGAAGTTCGAATTGGCCTGTCGAAGGGGCCAGTCAGTCCAAGCTTCATATGATTCAAGCCTTTCTTCAGCAAATCAAAAAGGGAAGTGTTGCCTTGGGACAAGTTTGTTGTGGATATTCTCTTTTGAAACTCGAGGACATTCGGTGTTATTGAAATCATAGTTTAACATGTGAGACGGAAGTTCATTTTTATTATGTTTCCCATGTTATTTACAAACTACAAGCTATTGGCGAGCATCTGAATTATGCATGAAAAAAACTGCGGTCCGAGCGATCAAATGTTATGATATGAATTCAGTATTACGTTTCCCATGTTTTTCTCTCATCGCATTCATTTTGCAGATCTTTCATAATCTTTTGAATGAAAATTTCTTCAATTCTACGTAATTTTGTTGGCATAAAATGATATTTTTTATAGAGCTATAAGAATTACATTTTGAATTGAGATGAATTGAGATTACTGAAATTATTAAAAATAAATAATATATATCGAACTTGAAACTTTCCCATAATGAGGCGTGCCAGAATATTTAAAACTTGTGCCTGGTCCACTGATTTATTCTTCAAGCACATATCCCATCCCAATACACACCTTTATCTTCCATTTGTTCATACCTCGATTCTCATTCCCAGTGAGAATAATATATGAATATAAAGAGGGTTCCTTATAAAATATTCCAAACAAGATAGTACGCAGCGTTGCACTTAAGCTAGGGTGCCGTGTAGATAGATATTCCATTCCAGGGAATTGGGTCTACATCTATATGTGTGTGTGTATATATATATATATAATGAACTGAGGAACTGAAAATAGTAAACTGTAAGCAAGCAATAAAAAAAATAAATAAATAACGAGAGTTATAGTAGCCAACCAGTCATGCAAGAGGTCAACTCATCAAAAGAAGTCAAGGAAGATGTCAAGTGGTAGTAATTTTAGTAACCATGGCAATATTTGGTCTCAAAGCAGCAGGAGTAGTTTTATCACTCATGAAAATATTGGGTCTGAAAGCAGGAGGAGTAATTTTATCATCCATGGCAGTATTGGGTCTCAAAGCAGTGGGAGCAGTTTTATCATCCATGACAGTATTGGGTCTGAAAGCAGGAGGAGTAGTTTTATCACCCATGGCAGTATTGAGTCTCAAAGCAGTGGAAGTAGTTTTATCACTCATGACAATATTGGGTCTGAAAGCAGTATGAGTAACTTTATCAACCATGGCAGTACTGGGTCTCAAAGCAGTGGGAGTTATTTCAGTACCCATGGGAATGCCGAGTCTCGAAGCAACACATTTGGAAATAATAACCTTAAACGATTCATCCAAGTTCAAAAAAACAAAGGTTCACTGTCCAACACATCATGCAAGAATTATCAAAACTTACAATGTGATAATAAGAAAGTTAGAGGAAGTGAGAAAGTTCGATGATGTGTCTAGTGATCATAGTAGTAATGATGATGAGTCCTACAGCAGTGACGATGATGAATCACCTTTTTTTACCCACGTCGTCGGCGATACTCACCACCGCCAGAGCCCCGTGGCTTTCCTCGACCAAGACGTGTCTCTGTCGTTCCCCACCACTACGGATCTTCCGTTCTCCGCCACGGGCCTACCGTCTTCCTCCAGTTCCTCCTTTACGTCGATATCCACGTAGGTCTTTGTCTCCACCAGGTAATTTTCTTTTGTATTTACCTCTCTTTTCCATCGTTAAAAAAGTATCTGTAACTTCGGTTCGAAGCAGATCCAATAATATTTATACTTAAGTCTCTTTACCGATCTGAAGTTACGAAATCTAACAGTTTTGGTTTCGATCTACTTCGGTTTTCAATCTAAACTGAATAAAAAACATTACACAAAAACTATTAAATTATTGTTTGTTGCTTATAAATTAGATGAATTATCGTTGTCGATCTTATCAGCTACCACCATTTTAAGGATCGAGAACTAAACCCAACTGAAGAACCTTCTGGCTCTTGTATTCCTGTTCATGATTTTGAATTTCTCATCCATCTTGGAGGGTTTAGATCTCTGAACTTCCATATAATTATCTTACTTCGAAACTTTGTAAGCTGTATAATTATATCATGGTTTTTATTTTCTTTTACATCTACGAAATATCTTCTTTTGTGTTTGTTTGTTTTCCCAAACCCAATATTTGTCACAGAGATAAACATACGATGAAACTCAGCAAACCAATTCAGTGCTAAGTACTATGTGATATAATCGAAAATAAAGTGTAAAATATTGCTAATTTGAATGCTTTACTTACACAGACATATAATTTCAAGTATTTAAATATGAATTATACGATTCGTTCGATTTTTTATTATATAATCTAAAAACGTTATATCAAATTACGATATAATTATATGATTTGTTTGATACGATCATATGCATGTTAAACTTGCATATATATTAATATATAACACACACATGATTATTTTGATATGTTTTAAAAATCTTGTGTATTAAGTACTTAAATAAATTTTTAACATAAGCATAAGACAGATATAACCCGTTAATGTATATCTTTAGATATGGTGATAAGTTGTATTGAAATTGGAAGTTAATTCAATACGGTAATATTAGGTATTAATGGAATTCCATTTTTTTCATTTGGTTATTTTAAATTCTCTCTCGAGCAAATTTTATTTCATAGAAAGTAAAAAAAATCTTACAAGAATATTTGGTCATGATTTTCAGGAATCCAAATTCACGTTCAAAGAAATATCTAAATCACACTAGACTTATAAGTTTATTTGAATAATAAGTTAAATCTTATGGTATAAGAATATTTTATTTTAAGATTTAAAAATTAAATTACTATTAATTGATTCTAGATAATAATTGCGTTTGTAAATAATATAATACGATTTAAGATAACATAATATAATATAAAGAATAATATTGGATTATTTAATGATATTGCATATTACATACCAGTAAAATTGGTGGTTGGGAATGGATTGGCCATAAGTTATAAAAACAAGTTCTTATATTCGAACTCTTATGACAAAAGATTTAGACGCAGAGAAATTTTTAATCTGGAGCAGCTGTCTTGAATCATGACTACACCAGAATAATATTAATGATGATGGTGGAAGTTGCAGAAACTTCTAATCTGGAGCAGCTGTCTTGAATCATGACTGCACCAGAATAATATTAATGAAGATGGTGGAAGTTGCAGAAACTTTTAATCTGGAGCAGCTGAAAAGTAGAACTTAAAAGTATGGACGAAGAATTTAAAACTTACTTGAAAAGGGACTCGAGCAGGTCTGAATGGCCCTGCAAACACAAACTTTGCTCTTGGTCCTCTACGTCAGGAAAGGACTGATCATCTGATTGAAGACCGAGTACCGCCATGGGGCATTGACAAGCACCTGCAAAATCAAAAACCCAGATTGTTATTCTTTTTTTATCAATTCCAAAACTGACGCTAATTATCGGCTGCCACGGGCAAGTATGTTTGGAGTTACTTTCAGTAATCTCATTACTTGTTGTTTGGTTAATTAATTATTTTCTTTTCCTCCAGAAACATATATATATATATAATGAATTTGCACAAGACGATGATATACACTGAATATATGACTAAAACACGTTAGTTTAATTCTCTTTCTCTTTGTTTTTACAGTTCCTCAAACCACCAACTATTCAAATCATTATAAATAAATACTCCAATTATTCTCCAAGCATATATCCCACTAACACCAGCGGACCCCTACATCCCATTTATCATCCATTTTGTTCGTTTCTCAATTCTCATTCCCCCGATATAAATTATTATACATACACATTATAAAGAGGGTTCCTTCTGATCCAAACAAGATACTATGTAGCGTTGCGATTAAGCTAGGGGTGCTGTAAAAATATTCTATTTCAGGAGCTTGCGTCTGTATATATAATGGTGCAGACAACTGAACGTAATATACCATAATTAAGCAGTACAAATATTAGGAGTTCCAGAGCAGCCAACCAGCCATGCAACCTCACAGAGGGGGGAGTAGTTTTAATACTCATGGCGATGTTGGTTCTCAAAGCAATACAGTTGGAGATAATAATCATAGTACATCAAACGTGACAGAAAAATTTCACAGTCCAACAGTTTACGCAAGAACTATCAAGAATTATAATGTGGTAGTAAAGAAGCGACATCAAGATTCTAGTGATGATGAGCCGGAGACTGAGACTGACTATGACGATGACAATTTACCACCACCTCACTCTTTTCCTCCGCCATTCCTACCACCACCAAACCCATGTGTCTTCCCTCGACCTCACCCTTTCGTATTTGCTCGACCAAGACCTCTCTTCTTTCCTCGACCACCGACTCTTCTACCTCCTCCCGTTCCATTTTTACCTCCTCCATTTCCTCCACCTCCTCCACATCCATTTCTACATATGCCGTTTCCTCCGCCAGGTAATTAACTTTATTTTTTTTCTGTTTGGTCTTCATTTTGAAGTTAGGAGACAAAAATTTCAGTTTCGTCTAGTTCGATACTCCATCCAGACTACATAGAACAAAATTTTCACAAATAATCAAAAAAAAACTTTGGATTATTATTTGTTTTATCAACTATTTCGTTAATTATGCATAGGATGAGTAGCCAACTTTAATTCATATAGAATTTACTTTATATACTTGGTTCGATTTATAGACTAATGAATACTCTCACTGTTGAAATAATTAACATCTGATATTTTATTTATCTTTGAAAACCAGGTCCTTTCCCTTTCCCTTAATCTTATCAGCTACCACCGCTCTAGGGGCCAAAAGCTTTATCCATCTGAAGAACATTTTCGGAGCTTCTATATATTTCGTTATGATTTCGAGGTTTCTCTTCCAGTCTTGGAGGATTTTCTTCCTCCATATATTATGCATCTAAACTGCTAGATCACTATCTATGTGCAAATAGTTTAACTTATATTAATGAATGTTTGTACTCTACCTATTTCTGATTAAAATATATACAACGAGAGAGAGTCAGTAAACTCAACTGAAAATGACTGGTAAAAAAATATTTTACTATTTTGTTTGACAGATCCTCTATAGCTTCATTCATACCATAAACACCTAATGAATATGTTACAAATAATTACTATGCAATATTGATTGACCGCTTCACGTTCTTATAGAAAACATAGTTTGATTCTTAAAGAGCCTAATATTAATTCGATTGATGATATTAGAAGCTAATGAAACATTCATGTATACCTTTAGGGATGCTGATAAGTCTCTTGAAATTGTAAGTTAATCATGTACTTTATTTATTTAAGGTGTATAATTCCACAAAGACATGATTAACTTAACATAAAACTAATCATATCCGTAAGGACAAAATGAAATCAATAATCACGATATATGACGATTCACGAAAGCTATCTAAAAATTGAATAAATCTGCTTTCAGATTAGATTTAGTTCTTTCGATTATATTATTAGAACTTTAACTCCGCGAAATTCAGTAAGACTTGTTTTTCATAACGGAGAGATGTGAAATTTGAAAGAAAATAGTATTGAGTGGCACAAAGACCTTTCAACTTTGAAGTTATTTTTAAATGTCTAAATATAATGTTAGATATATATTTAAAATTAGGATTCAATTTCAATAAATTAAAACCCAGTATACTTTCAAAGCAAGTTATCTATATATATATATATATATATATATATGTTAACAAGCAGAATGATTCATATTCACATACATATATATACATACATGCTCCCTCAGCTATCAGATCTTTAAAACCAAATAATTAAAAAAAAAAAAAACAATTGTTAAAGATTTCCCACTACCTAATTTTATACAACATTGAAAATCAAACATTGTGTCATTCAAAAAATATATATAGTACTCACTCATCTTAGTCTTTGAGTCTTGATAGTTCTTTCACTTCCACAAGGGTAAAAAATTAAAAGTCCAACTATTACTATGTGATATATTTAAGGGAGTAATATTGCGAACACATACTTTCCAACAATCATTGCAGCAAAAAGAAAGAAATACTAGCATTTGGTACAAACAATGAGGATATGGAAGCAATTCCAGTGTTTAAAATGTTCACTGGGCATTGACACTTTCGAATCATCTACCACTTTTACTGACAAATCAAAACAAACCCAAACATTATTTAACTCCTAAACTGAGATTGGAAATCGTAGTACCCCAAATACATAAATCTGAATTCAGACTTCACGACTCTATAACTACATTTTAAAAAAAAAAATGGTTAACACTGATGACTACTAACCCGAAAGACAAAACCTCCTAAAACCCAACTTGAAAAGGTTGATTGATTCCTACCCAAGGCCATGCTAAAATTTCCGCTGAATGAGGATTACCGTTCCACGTTATGTTGTGAAAAAAGTCCACAGCTTCTTTCCTATTGACACTTCACCGGGATGCTCAGAATCTTCTTGGTCATTATCATCATCCTCGCTCTCACCCTCATCTTCAACCTCAACAGCCACAGCAATATCCCCCTGACTGTATTCATTTCCATCACCATACTCCGCATCCCCTTCACGTGTTCCATTCACTTCTTCACTCACCGCAACATTCTGAACCTTCTTTTCTGGTGTCGCATCCACCGTTGTCCCACACTGTCACAATATGAGAGACTCCGTAAACAAAGCCAAGGAACTAGGACGGATGTTTTGCCAAACAAACTTCAAAAGTGAGGTATGGCAAAACAAAATGAAAACAGAAACTCAAACTCTATACTGAGAAATTTCCATTGTCAACTTCTCAGATTGTCAGACCACATATTCCACACACCACGAGCATGTAAAAGGAAATACTGAATAAGTATGTATTCATCAATCTGGATTTAGGGTTCTTACCTTCACTAAGTAGGCACTTCCCCCATTCTCACTAGCAACTCCAACTGAAGAGGAAGGAGCAGCTTTGGAATAAACTATTCTATCCTCTGCAACTCTAACATCGTCAACCTTCTCAATTTCCTTTTTCGAGCGAGATGAATCCTTTTTAACAGCCACTCCACTGATTAATGATCCAACAAAAAAAAAATCAAGAAATTAGATGCTTCACCATCATGAAATTTTGAACAAGTTTCATTAAATCATGTGACCTATTGAACGAACAGGCCAAAAGTAGCAAGTTCGGATTAGTAAACAGCCAGAGTTTATACCAAAATGCATATTGAATGGAACATAAAACAGTCAGAAAAATTCCGAGAACATGTTACATGACCCTTATATTGGACATCCATTGAAGATCAAATAGAATGGATATTCACACAGCATACAACTGAGAAGTAAATTAATCGATTTAAAAACACTGATCAGTAAATGGGAACTCCAGGCTAAACAAATTCTCCCAGGGAATAGTTAAGCTACAAGGAACTTACACTTTGGGTCGCCGGAGATTATAACGAGTCTCGCCTCGGGTTTGCACATCAGGAATAACTTTTTGTCGTCTCCTCCTGCGCTGTCCGGTTGTAACACTATCAGAGCCCCCATCACTACCATGGTTATCTTGCTCACTCACAGTGACTCGTGATGACCGAGCACGACTCCTCTTCTTTCCATTTCTTAGACTTCCTTTATC